AAATTTCGAGAGGTTGCTCTGAAAGTCGAACTCGGGCATGTCCTGGATATCTGTCGCGTCTTCTGTAGCCCAACCGTTTGTGGCTTCGAGCGCCTGCTGCCGTTTTGTCTTACGATTCGAAGCGTTTGCCGCTGCAAGACCGACTCTGCCGCCTATAACCCCGGGAGTTCTTGTCTGTGGCTGTTCGGCGGCTTGTAGCATTGGAGTGTTCCTCCAACCATTGCCTTTGCTAGTAGAAGTTAGTTTCTGTACATGGGACTAGTGGCCTCTGAATCTGAATATCACATACCCTTTCTTGACAGTCTCGACGTCGCCATTCTTCTTCTCTTGAGCAGCAAGCTCCTTCTTACGAGACTTGCCTCCTCTTCGAGTCTTTTTGCCATTGTCGTCGTTCTTCTGCGGACTGGGATCATCCATTGGCTTGCCGGTCCTGGTCTTGGTAATGCTTGCCCTTCGCGCAGCTAGCTGTCCTGTACGCGCCTCACTATCTGCCTCTTCAGCATCCGCGATGTCCAGCGACGAAAATGGGCCCTCTAGAGTGGCTGCACTCGGCTTTCGAACGTTTGTCTTCTTTGCATGGCCCACGAACGGAGACGTGTTTTTCGGTAAAGCCGCAGCGCTTGCAGCAGCTATGGGCTTGATGGGCGTGGCAGGAGCTTCCTGCGGAGGCGCAGCAACGGCAGAGCTCAACGAAGGAACTGTCGAGGTGCGCTTCCCCATGCTAAGAATCGCGGGGTCGACGAACGGCGCAGCTGGAGTTGGCTGAGGAGCGACTTGGCGGGGCGCTTGACGAGCGTTCTGGTAGACAGGTGCGCCTGTAGGCGGGCCCGACGACGGTTGGCTGATGAGATGCGGAATCTGTTGTCCGCTATGCGGTGGCGGGTGCTGAACATGGTTCTGGGGATATCGCGGGTATGCAGGAGGCTCGGATCGCGATGGAAGAGGTTGAGGAGCGGGCGCAGAGGGGGTGACTTTGATATCGGCGATCATATGTCCTTCGACGTTATACGAAGGCACACGGTGACCAGAGTTTGGGAAGAAGACTGTAACCATCAGCGCATGCCCACAAATAAACAATGCCTCCGACCAGAACGTACCATCTTGAAGCGTCAGAGTAGCCGTGTGTTGATCAACACCACTAACCACACCCAGCACGACAGCACCTGGAGGGCTCTGTAGTGTCACCGCGACCGATAAGCCAACAAAAGTGGAAGCCATATTGGCGGTGGAGGGCGCGGGCGAGGGAGGTTCTCCAAAGCCTTAGGACGAAGCGAAAGTTCCTCGGGGAGCAATATTTCCTGAAAGCCGGGCGGAAGGCAAAAATTGTTCACAGGCGACTTCGCGGGCTATCGTGAAGAATGTTGACGAAGATGCGACCCCCAGGTCAGGCGAGTTGAGGGTGGAGAGCACTCAGGTAGGAGCCCATACCCCAGGTGCACTATTTCGCGGATCGTGCTAAGGCGCTAGCGGTCAGCCACAGACCAGCCGCCAACGGCTGTTGATCTAGGGCTGCATCTTCACATGCAGGTGCTTGAACACGAAACGAGATCGCTCTTCACCAAACTGTACCGTAAACACCAAAACCTACCCCAGAGCTGTACATGAACCTCTTCCTTTCACTTTATCCAGAACGTGACCACGCATATAGCGTTAGGGTATATTACCTGGAATAGGTGTAATTCATCGAAAAGGAGTTTCTTCGCATACACTGCTGAAGCACATGAATAGGAGACAGAAGGAAGAATAATTATTGTTCATTACGCGTGTTTGTCTAAAGAAGCTTGCATCATCGCCCAAAAGCAAAGCGCATCAAATCCAGGGTATCCATACAATAATTCCATCATCACGAGTGACTTCTACGTCGTGTCAATCGCGATGTTCCAGTGTCCCATCAAACAAGCTCCCATTGGGCTACGCCCCCAAACTTGCACGAGTACGCCGTCTTGTTATTCCAAGCAGCAACGCTCATGCCACGCGCATCCTTGTCGTTGAAGACCGTAACTGCATTAAGGGAAATCTTCTGGCCCGGTGCACCGAGGTCGATGCGAGGTACGTCGAGCCACCAAGTGCGCCCGTCCGTGTTGAACGTCTTGTAGTCCGGTTTCCGCCCGTCTCTACCGGCAACGCTCAGAAGCATAACGTAGGGCGCACCCTTGCCATGGCGCGCATTGTCCCAGTGCGGACAGACCGAAGACATTTGGAATCGAACAACCGCCGGGGCGTATGGATCGTTTACTTTGATCTGTGCCTGTGATGGTTCGAATGTTCGCTCGCCAAGGCCATGTTCCTTGGAGGCGTCACCGAATATAAGAACGCGTCCACCTTGATCGTCTCGCATAAACTCTTCGTATGACATAATGCGTCCATCAGTACGGAATTGGTGAGAAGCCTCCCCCGGGTAATGCTTTAACCCAAACTCGTTGTTGTCCATGGTGAATTGGCGAGGGTTGAAGGACCGTATGTATCTGGTGGGTGTTAGTCATTAATGCAGCATCGACGAATAGTGAAATATATTTTCAAACGTACCCTTCACCACGGTTCTGACACCCAAGCGCTCCAGCTCCCCAACAGGAATCGATGAGCTTCCATTCTCCGTTGTCGATTTTGACAGCATTCCAAGCATGTGTTGATTTGTAGGGTGGCACAGCTTGTCCAGGCTCCAGAGGTGAATGGCCGTAGCCTTTCGATGCACCGGAACATACCATAGCCTCGAGACCTGCTTTCAGAGCTAGAGCAGCGAAGAGACCGGCGTACCCCTCGCATACTGCCAGGCCTGATGCGATAGTTTTTTCGGGGGTAGAAGGCGAAATGGTACCGTTGAAGAACGAATGAGCATCGTAGTCAACGTTGTGATGCAGCCAAGTGAATATAGCTCGCGCTTTATCAGTAGGTGAGGAGAATTGAGAGCACAGTTGATGAGCAAGCCAACCCACATCGGAAGAGGGGAGTTGAGCACGAGGAAACTGCGCAGCATGGTTGTCTGGTCCTGAAAAGTCCCGACACACAAGGCAACTTGCAACTGCACCTGGTTTCGGCTTGGAAGCCATGATTGCGCTGAGGTTTGGTCTTGATGACATTGGGACGGGTGGCGGTGCTCCAAGATTCGGTGCTGAGTCAGAAGAAACAGCTGCTGGCCGAGTTGAAGGCACAGGAGGAGGCGATGGAGCCTTATTGTTGAACCCCATCTCCAACGCCGATCGTCGTGGTGGCGGTGGTGCGATCGCTCTGTTGGTGCGGGAGGTGTCGTTTGAAGATTGCCTCTGTGGCAACGCTGGCACAGGCCGAGGCGATTGCTCGCGAGTGATGGACTGTCTAGGAGGGAGGGAGGGTCTTGCTGGAAGATCTTTGCGTTTTCGTTAGCCATGTTCTAGCAGACTGTCTTTGTCTGTACTCACTAGGGGTCTTCAGCTTGGGTGGCAGCGCCTGAGCTGGCACATAATCTCTTTTACTCTTCATTGCGTTAAGCGTCGCCTTGCTCTGTTTGGGGTCTTCGGGTGCTTTCTTGGCTGGCAGTGGTGGCAGCTTTGACGGATCGTAGGCTGGAGCCCTGACCTGGTAAAGTGTGCCAGTACTTCCATTGCTATGACTTGTCCCGTTTGTCTTGACAGAGCCCAGTGACAGTGTCGATATGCCCGAAGCGATGGTAGAAATCGACTCAGACGACTCGCGCTTCCTCACGCTTGGCTCGGACGCCTTGCGCGGTGCCAGTGCTGGTGATGGCCGAGGCGTACTGGCGTTGCGCGGAGGTGGGCGAGGAGGTAGCGCGGGCGAGACTTTGGGTTTTTCGGATTCGTGCACTACCATGGGCTGGTTGCCGAGTTGTCGCGCCGACGTGGGCGCATTGCTGAGGACTGGTGGGTTGTTGACTGTCTGGCGCGAGTAGGCGGGCGGGCGCGAGCTGGGCGGAGGCGGAGGCGGCTTCCTCTTAGCAGTGGAGGCATCATAAGAATACGTCGGTTTGGCTCCCGGTACAGGAGTATGCACTTCTTCGAGGTTCAATGCCGCAATCCGCGACTTGATTGACCCTTCAGCCATCGCGGTCGCGTTCTGTGGGGTGATCGACGGTCGGAGCGTCAGCTGTGGCTGGTGACGAGTCAACAGGAGCAGCGATTGATGGCGTCCGTCGACGTGCAACCTCTCCTTGCCGGGTAATGGAGAGGCTGGAAACACGGCGCTGGGGGCGGGAGGTGAGGAGAAGAAGTAAGTATGACGAGACAAGGCTTGTCCTCCCAACGGAGGCACGCCTTATGCCGGGGATAATCGCAGGCAGACGAGCACAGCCTCTGCCTTTTGGTTCGCCCTGACCCCTGTAAAGCCACATGACCCCACTTAAACCCGTTCCTGCCGATTTAAGCTTTCGCCCTCGTCTCAAAATAGTCCGGTCCGATCCAGTGGTAGACGGCTCGTGGCACTCTCACACTATGGCATGACATCAGTGTACCTTGGTCGTCGGGACTGTCATCTGTCGTCCACGGATTGGCATGTACTCACACTGGGCATGACGTCTCCGACTGCACCACATGCAATGCTGTGCACCCGTTACCCAATCCTCACCCGTGCAAGGGTTCGTGCCGTACATGTACATGCAGATGACATAAGTAGCATCAACGACATGTCTTTGAATTTTTATCATTGAATATCTCGCACTAAATTCGCTACTGTATCAAACAAGCTAGAAGTAGAACATATGGAGTCGCCAAAGCGTGCAACATGGACAGCCTACACTCCGTTCCCAACCTCTACCCAGCCGTGCCTCCCATACCCCTGTCCAGCCCATCTCTAACCTATAACACCATAGCAATTTCAACTTCTGCTCGCTCATCGCTGCACAACTGTAAGAATGACTGCGAAAAGACACTTTTACTCTTGCTGAAAGGAGAGGACGGGCAGCCGCTAAAGATACCACCCAATGATGCAATGCGAGGGCTTGCTATCCAAAACGCCAGAGAAGAGTGTGAGTGAGTTGATGTTGGAGACAACAGTAGACGAAGTGACAATCGCTACCTCTTGCGCTTCTTGCTCTTGTCAAGCGCCGTGCTCATTGAGTAACCTTCCATCGACATGTGATAGTCATGCATCGGGGGAGGCGCCATCGACGTTGCTGACGAGACTGAGTTCTTCTTAACAGAGACCCCCATGTGACGTCCGTAGCGTCCCTTCCTGCCGTTGCCTTCGTCTTCGCTGACGCATCCCTCGGCACCGATACCAGCATCTTTGCAGCGCTGGCATGGTCGTTGGCGGTCACAGCCCTTCTTGCTCTTGCGGCAGCGCTGGCAGCGTGGCTTGCTCGAGAGATCCTCCTCGTCGACGCCAAGCTGATGCTGGAAGTTCAAAGACGCATTAGAAGCCTTGCGTGACTGTGAGGGGAGAGAGGACGGAGACAATGGAGTCTTGCTAGTGCCATTGACCTTGGACTTGCTCTTAGAGACGGCACGAGGCTTGCTGGGCTTGCCGGACTTGCTTGACACGGAATGGGCCTTGATGATACCAGAGTGCACACGATGGCCGTGTTCTCCTGACATCATCTCATCACTGTGACCCTTGAAAGACTCATCTCGGTCGTCTTCGTAGTCCTCACCGCTACTCTCAGCCTCATCGTAAACACGAGTGTGGTCGTTCATTGCCCGAGCCATGTTGTACGCGAGAGGAGGAAGCTCACTCTCGTCCTCGCTACCGTCAGCGCTCTCGTCGCTTGAAGATGCTGCGGCTTTTCCGCTAAAGGCATCATCGAGCGTGGAAGTGGAAGTACGACCATGGGTGGAGAAGTTGGACGCATCACCCAAGCGCATGAGCTGACGGGCGACATCCTCATCAGAGATGACACTGATACTCGCAAGAGTGGTGTCAGGGGTAGGGAGCGCTCCACCGCTGCCAGAGTAGCGATAGTGGGAATGCTGCGCTGAGCCGCGCGCCCGAGACTTGTACCCCTGAGCTTGATTGCTCGATGTAGAGTAGGGTGTGACCAGTCCTTGAAGGTATGAACTGTCACCCTGACCATAACTCTGCGGCGAGGGCAGCGGATGCGAGTATGAGAATGTCTGCTGATTGACAGAGTATGGCGAGCCAGCAGTGTTTCCGCTGATACGTCGCTGAGGGGATACGGACGACTGTGAAGCAGTCATGGGGACTTGAGGCGGTACGAACAGAGGCAGCTCCTATGGAAGGAACGAGTGTCAGACTAATGCACGATACATGCCCACTGTAGGTACTTACCGAGCTGTCGAATTTTGCACGCTTGCGGCGGCCACCTTCAACAATGTTATCAACGCTGATCTCAGCGCTCGCCAGTGGCTCTTTCCTCGAGCGTCGCGAGCTGCTGACAGAGCCATGCTCCTCGTCGCTGTCACTGTAGCCGTCGCCATTGGCGTCAGCGAAGCTCCCATGCGAACTGTTGCCGCGACTCTTTATGGACGGTCGCATGCGCTTGCTGACTGAAGCGCTCCTCCGCCCACGTCCTGGGTGTGGGGAGTGGCTCTGGCGTGCATGGCGGGACCCCGCTCTCGAGCCCTGGTGGTGCTGGATGGGTGGGAGCATTTGGAAGGCTTCGTCGAGGTGGGGTCGCGCGCGACGAGGCGAGATGGTCTGCTGATGGGGGTCGGGAGAGTATTCATCAGCATCGAGAGTCTCTGGTGAGACTCGGACGTAGACGGTCATGCCGTGTTCGAAGTTCTCGAAGCGCGCAATCAGCGTGTTGCCGTGACGGTCCTCAAAGATGACGCCTCGACGCTCATACAGACCATAGAAGTTCTTAACTGTGGTGATGATGGAGTCTGTTGTATCGTGAGGGTATATGTCTACTCGCATGGGTAGTCGGGCCTTGTGGGCTGGAGACTGGGGGAGCAGCAGCTCGAAGCTGACGTGCTTCTTGGGCGTCTGCTTGGAGGGCGACATGGACTCATGCGCAGAGCCCGTCTCGGTGCTTGGGTAGACGTCCATGATGCCAGAGTCTTCCCTCTGGGGCATCATGTCGTAGCCAGATACGGGATGCATGGTGTCGTGGTGTCGGCCCGCTAGGAGCTCTTCCACCTCAGGGCAGCGCTGTGCGCCAGCAACCCGCGGTTCCGCAAGCATATTGGAAACTTGCATACCAATGTCTCGGATGCTGAGAGTGTGTTCCAAAGCCCCTAAAACGAGCTTCTGTATGTGTAGGTGGCTGAGGGGCGCACCGATGCTGCCGGTGTCGCAAGGGCTTGGGACGAGAGGCGGTCGGGGAAGGATAAACGGGCGTCGAGCCTGGAAGGCGACATGTTAGCAGATGGTCGCTGATGAGGCTCGATGGCATGTCGGGTGCTCCTTGTCCTGTTCCACGGCGCCTGTGCTGGGCTGGAGGCGGTTGGACGACTCGTCACCGCTGGCCCTTTGCGGACTACAGGGAGGATGTGACGACAGCGCGGAAGACCCAGGGGCGGCGTCGCAACCAAGTGTAGAGCCCAACTCGGTCGCAAGCGCCTATGGAGACATGTACATACCAACAGTGATGTCTACAAAGCCAGATGGGCAGTAGATGCTTCGATCCGGTTCCGTGAGTCTACCGCCGCTGGCTGCGGATGGCAGGTTAGCGACCCGAATGCGCAGAGCAGGATTGACTCTATCTGAGCGCCAGAGTGCGATCTCAGAGGGATCGGGAGCTTGATGGGAAGGTTGGAGGCTTACAAGGAGGAGGTGGTGTGGGACTGAGGAGAATGGTGTGGAGGGTGGGTTGCAGATGAGAGATGTCGCAAGCGAACTACAGAGACACCGACTAGGACCACGCAAGGTCACGACGCACTTTCCAGATGCGCTTCGAACCACGAAATGGCGGTCGCCTTTGCATTCACAGTCTCTTGGGATCAAATTTGTATCGTCGAGTGCGTCTAAACAGTACAGCGCATCCTCCCTGCTGCATATATGCGATTGCGCCTCCATTGGTAGCTAGCATATACACTACCGCAAAGAACAGCCCACCCTCACTCACGCAAAAGGGCTGCAACGGTACTGCAGCTGGGAGATGCCCTAGTCTTCATCCCATCTTGTGTGCTTGTCTGCGAAGTCGAAACATGGGACAACTCGGCGGCAGCCATGCGCCCAATGGTTGAATCAGACTAGAATGCATGCCACAGGACAACTCAATCGCTTGTCGACTACACATGCGCAAGAGAGCCGATCTCAACAACGTCAGACATGGCCAATGGGCGGGTACGCTGCTTGTCGTCGAGACCATGCATACCCTCCATGTGAACAGGAACAGGACGAGCTTTAGCACCCTGATACCCCGTCTACCCTTCTCGAGCACGTAAGGGTCCTCGAATACCGCATTCCGGGTCGCCTTCACACACAATTCTAGTCAGAATGCTAAGGAAGCTTCCGGTCCCGAAAGTGGGTGAAGCGCTGTGGATTCGTTGGCAAGTGGTGCCGGGCGTCTATTGGAGAGATCTCCGTGCGACAATCAATGCCACACACCTGCTTCCGTAGTTCCCCTTTGCAGACAACCGTCCCTGAATGAATCGCCACAAGATTTCCTAGAGGCTCGTGCTACTTATGAATTACGCGACCAAGGAATTATGTCTACATGTGCTCCCGCAATCGTCTGATGATCTCGGACCCACACTATCATGACGATGGTAGCGCGAAGCCCAGAAATCAGTCCGCGGATAGTCTACACACCCGCTCTGGTGTGGAAGCCATGTTTCGACCGGATTATGGCCGTCTGTTATCTTGCTTCCAAAATTCCGACCCTGCATGTGCACCAGCGATCATGGCAAAGGTACATACGTAGCGCGGCATGCGACTTCGCGAATCCGTGGCTTAACGCTCGGACAACCACTTTAACTGATGAGGGGTCGATCAAGAACTGTATGTCTCCCGCACTTTGCGCAAAGACGTTTCAGTAGGGATCCTGGTCGCGGACCTTTTCGAAAGACGTTGTGCGCATTTTTGGCTCCATGCGATCTCGCTACGGATGTCATCGGTCCACACAGTTAGTCGGTGAGGCTCTCGGCCTATACAGCGCCGCGGGGACAAAGCAAAGGAAAGACGCGATAACAGCGCCGGTTTCAGGGCATCCAACGTTCCCCAGACGCAGTACATCTCTCCATACTGCCTGGGACAACGGCAGCGCAACAAAGACAAGCGTAGGCTGCCGTTTGATATCTGGCGGCAGTGCACTGATCGACAGGCTGTGGGCGCCCGACAGCGGATCGTGTCTGCGAGTTCCAGACCACCTTTGTGATCGCGACCACATTTGAGGCCATCCAAAGCAATTGGAGGATGACTCTACATGTTGTTATGGCAATAGAACAGGTAAACAAGATGTTTAGAACAACTCGCTGTCGGGATATCGCCACGTGAGCTCGCGTGGTGTAGCTGACTCATCTTCAAATTGACGCGTCGAACCCAAGGCTTTGGCGGGGTACGTGTATCTATCGATGCAGGTGTTCAAAATGGCTGAAATTGCTCCAAGGTCCTCCAAAATAAGTATTGATACTTTCGACCAGTTCTTGATGCATCATCTCTAACAAGTACGTGGGCGCATTGCAAGGTCGTCTTTGTGATGGGATTTGGGATACGCGTTTCGGCTATGACGTGAGCCCCGGAAGCGTCTTCGGGAAAGAGCGAACCGTGCACCATCACTAGGCATGTCGGGTTAGCGGCCAGCATCCCTGTCCCAGAGCTACAGTAAATAAACATTGGATCTGAACGCGCAGAAGCTCCAAGCTCCCATATAAGTTTACAAGCTCTTGTTGTCGTCAACACCACTCCTCGTGCCATCCGACATCGTCGACCCGCCTATCTCATCGCCGCCAACTTAGATGGAGAGTTTCTTTATATCGACCACTGTTTTGTAGCGCTCGACTTCCGCTGCCCCTATCGTCCACTTCGCAACCGTCGCTGTCATCAAAACATACATTCCGAGACTATTGTCATAACCGACACACTGAGAACATAATGGACGCAAAGGTAAGCTCTCTCCCTCTCTGCTTGCCTTTGATTAGGCGCGCAACCCTGCCTGACGCGTTGCGAGGTCGGCGATGCCACTTCATCTTCGTGCATATCCGGGGTCACCCAGACTGTCTTCCCTCGACATCCGCTGACAGATTTTTCTACAGCCACAACGCCCTGCAAGGGCTCTCCGTGTACGCGACGAGAACGCGCTACCCCAATTACCAGCTGGAAAGGCTCTGCACTCGCGCGGAAAGTCAACACCAGCACTATCTACACTGATGCAGGTCGGAGGCATCAAGGCGGCCGCAGCCAAGCGGACCGTGTTTGGCGATGTCAGCAATACTACACGGCAGCCTGTAGCAAAGGATGACATGCAGGTCACCGGAAAGAAGAAGGGCCTCGAGGTGCTCAAGGAAACCTCTGCCGTCACAGTCAAGGAAATCACGAAGCCTGGTGCATTAGCACGACCGGCGCAACGCCCTCTAGCAAACGTCATAACAAAGACCAACGCGTCAATCGAGACAAGTGAAGTCGCGTCTGCTGTTCCCAAGCATGTCAACGCCAACCAACCGACGGCCGACGCCCGCAAAGTCCTGTCCAAGAAGTCCTCCACAGCTGTTTTCAAGGAGCCGCAGCCAGAACCCCTTAGCGACACAACTCTTGTAAATGTACCTGCTCGCCAACCTCTCCTTACCCAGCCATCTTCATTTCCCAACGTGGACCGTGCCCCAGCACAGTCCCAGCAGGCAGCGACCATCCCTGAAGAGGAAGAGAAGACCGAGTCAAAAAATGGGGCGGACGACAGGTACGAATACCTGGATGCGTTAGAGGAGCAGGCGCGCGTCCTGGAACAAGAACGCAACGAAGAGCTTGCCAAGGTCAACGACCTCGACCAAGAAGAGTACTGGGACGAGGAGGAAGATGAGGAGTACTATGATGCCGACGGCTACACTACTGCTCGTTCTCTTCGATCGCGTGGCGACAACACGACTGGTGGTGTTACCCTGGTCCTTGCGCCTAGGATCACTGCAAAGACAAAACGCGAGCTAGAGGCTGCTAAGATATTCGTCGAGGCAAATCGGAGTGACGAAGATGTGGAAGACGAGCAGTGGGACACCTCCATGGTCGCTGAGTACGGTGATGAGATCTTTGAATACATGCACTCTCTTGAGGAGCGCATGAAGCCAAACGCTTCTTACATGGATCACCAGGCCGAGATACAATGGTCGATGCGATCAGTATTGATGGACTGGCTTGTCCAGGTCCACAACCGCTTCACCCTTCTTCCGGAAACACTTTTCCTCGCTGTCAACTATGTCGACCGTTTCCTCTCATGTAAGGTGGTCTCACTCGGCAAGCTGCAGCTGGTCGGCGCCACTGCTCTCTTCGTCGCTGCCAAATATGAGGAGATCAACTGTCCTTCAGTGCAGGAGATCGTATACATGGTCGACGGTGCTTACACTGCCGACGAGGTTCTGAAAGCTGAGCGCTTCATGCTTAGCATGCTTCAGTTTGAGCTGGGTTGGCCCGGCCCAATGAGCTTTCTCCGCCGCATCAGCAAGGCAGATGACTACGACCTGGAGACTCGTACTCTATCAAAGTACTTTTTGGAGATCACCGTTATGGATGAGCGCTTTGTCGGTTGCGCTCCCAGCTTTCTGTCCGCTGGTGCTCACTGTCTCGCTCGCTTCATGCTGAAGAAGGGTGACTGGGTAAGTTCATATCGTCTGTACACGTCACCAAGCCATGCTAATATTCTCCTAGTCGCAAGCACACGTACATTATTCTGGATACACATTGACCCAACTTCGCCAACTCATAACGGTAATCCTTGAGTGCTGCGACAATCCCCAGAAGCACCACGCTGCTGTGTACGAGAAGTACACTGACAAGCGCTATAAGCGTGCTTCCATCTTCGTAGAGGCGGAGGTCTCAAAGGGCTTCTCTCTGCCCTTTGTGTCTAGGGACAGCCTGGCGAGCCAAACATGGAGGCGAAAGTGAATACACTTGTCTCCATATGGCTCTGACTTGACTGTGTTCTAACGTGGCTCAGGGTTCGTGCGACAGCGCAACTCCCAGAGGTCACCCACCAGCACCCACCAGTCAAGAGTCCGGCAGTACAAGTCAACCGGTTTGCCGCGACTCACCATCAGCATCAACATGGTCACCATCGAAATCTTCTCCATTCTTGCTTATTGTTCACGGATACACGGCGCTTTGGCGGCTTCTTGGAACAGGGTCAACATCAGCAATCTTCCCAGTCTACATCAGTCCAACCTTCGTTCGGACACCCGGCGCATGGAGTTTACGGTTATCCGGCCTAGGTCTTTTCATTCTCCGTCAATGCTCTTTCCCGTCACTGGTCCTCTACTCTCGTCACTGTTCTCATGCAGTTGGTAAACTTCCCTTCGACTGTATTTACTTCCATTGGAAAGCGTTTCCGGATCCCCATCACGATGAAACGAGGTCATGACCCGCTCATATTAGTTTAATTCTCTCACTTCCGCGGTATCGCGCTTATGGTGGCGGTTCTTTTTCCCTTTCCGTTTTTGTCGCTCCTCTTTGGCCGGGTCTCAGCGGTCAACCTTCGACGCACAGGAGTTTACATGGGCATCGCACTATGTGCGTATGGGTTTTTCTATTTGCGTTTTGCCTGGCACAATGAAGTTCTTAGTTTGAACTTTCCTGTAGAGTCAAGAAAAGCGTTTAATACTTGCAGCTTCAAACAGTGCCTATTTAAATGATGAGTGTGAGACCCTACGGTGAAGAGATATGAGGCTTAGGGCTTGTGATCAATCGTCAATCTTGATGATTGTATTTGTTTGGCGGGCACCTCCTCAGCTGGGCTTGAGAGAGCTTCGGAGGATATGTCTAAGCCTGCGCTGAATGTCTTGATAGCTCCACATACACATCCTACTATCCTCCATCATTGAGTCTGCGCCAGCGAATGCGCCCTACAACTCAGCATTCGGGTATCTCAAACGTGACTGCATCATTCTTATCCCGCTGTCGCTTTTCCAACCCCCAACCAGCCAATTGCGCCCTTGCTTATGCCGAATTCTGTTTGTTCGAGAAACTGTGGTATACTGATCATTGCGATGCTCCTTCCGCTGGTGCGATCAAGACTACTGAGTCACCTGGTCTGCCGTCAGCCTCGATCCAATTGCAGACACCGTGTACATCTCCTACCTCTTACGAACAGCATCTCGCTCTGCTTCTTGACCGTCCGTACGCGGGGCTCCTGCTCGTCATCCTCTTCCTCTGCAATATATATGGTTTCTTCTACGTCTCCGAGAACGAGGTTGCAATGCGAGTCGTATGCCTGAACACCGTGTCAGCTTGGCCGTCTAGGTATACGAGCTACAGCTTTGCGACTTACATGTAGTCTGCCCTTTAGCTCGCGGTCGCCGCGCAGTTTTACAATGACAACTTCGTCAATGCAGAGGCGCACAAGGTCGAGGGGCTCGTTGGTCTCTTCTTTTTCGTCCATGGCGGGCAGCGTGTCGTGGAAGCGATTCGTGGTGTCGAAGCTACGAGCGCCTCCGCAGTGAACTTTGGCAAGAGCGATCGTCTTGGCGGAAGCGGGGACTAGCGTGCACGCGAATCTAGTGGTGGGCTGGTAGGCATTGCGTCAGGGCCCAGCCCCATCCAACATTTCTGGGTTGTCCTCAACACCACAGTTTCCGCCGCTCAACCATCAATACTAATCCGTTCGTTTCAACTTTACCGGACAGGTAACACACACGGCTCGAACGTACTACCAAAACCACGAGTCATGGCCGAAAGCCAAGTTCCCGTCCAGAAGGACGAACATCCACTTCTGGCCTCACGCCCGCCAGTCACCGATCCCATCACCTACCTTACTATTATTGAATACAACCTGACAGAGGAGAATCTGCCTGTTCTGCATGAAGTTCTTCAAGATGCCGAACTCACTGCGACTATCGGTTGGGATCTGATCCATTTACTCCTGCCGTTGTTGCCGCTCTCGGAAGACTGTTTGCAAGATATCGCTGCAAAGGGCAATCCTAGAGAGTGTGTCTTGAAGGTGACAGAAGCACTGCGGCTCCTGGAATTCGAAGAGCCACACGACCACACGGATGGAGAAGAGGACGATGCAGAAGCGAGCGAACGCACAAAAGCGGCGGAGGTCGGAATGGGCGAGTCGAGCACAAGTCCAGCCTTCCAACCAGCCGTAGTGCCACCGCTCCCAGTACTGAAGTTTGAGGTCCTCTTGACTATACTAGCAACATTACACCGGAGGGTCAAGACGAAGTATCCAAGCCGATTCCTCTCAACTAGCCTCCAGGCCGCGCTGCTCGCATACAACAGGGCAAACACACATATTGAAGACCTTACCCTATCCGCTGTCAAATTCGTCAAGACACTTTCCGGCACTAAGCGGCCGCATCTGCCCTCAAGACGGAGCAGCGGGAACCTGCTACGTGTGAACACCAATCAATCGGAGCCAGATCCGGAGGCGCAGAGCGACGCGCCAACCAATGAGGAGAATGACCTTGTTAATCGCCTACTTCAGTCGTTCCTTACGCACATCCTAGAGGAGTATGTTTTGTCGTTGACATCGGACGACGATGTTCCAGGTCTGGCATGGGCAAGCAGGCTGATGGAGCGGTACGAACCCCAGCGGATACCTAATAAGCCCAACTACCAAAAATACGCAGATCGATTTGCAGATGATGAGGATCTGACCTCTAGAGTTGCAATTCTTGGGCAAATTGTAGCCTTGAGCCAGGATTTTGGATTGAAGTACGAGGAGCTGCTGCGGACTGTGATGGACACAGAGGACGAGAAAAGAGGCATTCCAGGGACAGAAGACGAGCCGCCAGCCGCAGCCGCTGATATACCACTTTCACGAACAGGAGCCTTGATTCTTGTTGCCGCGCAAAGCGTCAAACAAGAATTATATGCACCAGCCACACAAAATCAGTCTTTATCTATTGACATCTTCCCCGGACACGCCACCATCCTTGGTAACTTTATCGGCACTCTTGGTCAGCAAACTGTCGGCATGGAACCTGAGGCACTACTTGATACAGTTCTTACGTTTGGCCTCATAGCGCTCCAGCATAACAACATTGGCGAGCCAAAAGATGACGAGTCATTTGCCCAGTACCTACAGACGATATCGCTCATCTCTGCAAACTCGCCGTCGCCCAGCTTACGTGGCCATGCACACTACCTCACCACTACTGTGCTGCGCTCCCATCCCCATGATCTGGTTCGCCTAACGTTCATCCGCGACACATTAGAACACTGTCCGTACGAGAACCTCAAAGCAAGCGCGGTGTCATGGTTGAAGGGCGAGACTCTCGAAGCCAACGCCCCACGTCCAGAGTCAGCAGATGATGACCACGAAGAGACGAATATTTTCGCCACACCTGTCGCGCTATCTACTGTCGCGCCGTTCTTATGGCCGGACCTTACAAAACAATATGCCGGTGACACTAGTCTAGAAGACTCATGGATGCAATTCCGTCAGGAACTCGGTTTCTATGTCGCAGCGCTCAACTTCTACTACCTTCTGTTGCAAGCGAAACACTTGCATGACACTCTTGGTATCAAAGAACTAAACAATAGTCACAGCATCCAGTCACGCTATTTGGATGTGCTAAAGCAAACAGCTGCGCGGTTCCAGAAAGAGTTGACATCGGGCGGCGGTGCACTTGTAGTTGAAGGAGAAGAGGCGCTGGAACAGGCCAAGGCTGATGTTGGGTTGCTCGAAAAGGTAGTCGAGTGGGTAGAGGGTGGGCTGAAGAAAATGTAGATAATGGATTTATGTATATGATGGATGATGCTTTCCCACAAGCATTCACAAGTTTGGTAGCATTCGCAGTAAAATTCTCGATGTTTATGCTATTCTTCAACATGATATGGACTCGTCTTTGCAAAGTCAAAACCCACTGTTCATTCCTCCAAACCCCGCATGACCATAGGATCCACCCTGCGGAACCCAACCGCCAAAATTGTCTGCCGTCATATCATTCCACAAATACAAATCTCCATTCTGAAACGCCGCTGAGAAGTCGCCCATGTCGGTTGAGAAGGTTGTTTGATCGTTCATGGGCTGAGCCTGTGTGCTTGCATCAAGGCCTAGTTCGTTCGCAGTCCATGGTGCCGGCGTGGGATAAGCGTTGCCCAAAGGAAAATTTGACATGGGTATTGGGTGTGCTTGGTGTTGTGCAGCAACCTGTGACGGATCTATAGCGGAAGTCGCAACTTGCGAGGTCGGTTCCGCAAACGTCGGCGTCTGATTCCCCGTCGCAGTATTGCTATCATCACCATTGCCCGTCTTTCTCCTCTTCAAATGTCTCCCCTCTTTTCTCCATTCCTGGTACTCATCCCACCAACTCTTCAGTTTCTCGTGGAGCAAAAAGTTCCAATGGCTCGGAACTCTGACCCTACACTCCGGCGGCCCCCCGGCCTCGTTCGTCTTTTCTAATACAGTGTCAAGGTAAAAGCTCACTTTTAGACTCTGACTTTCGAGAAGTTCGCCCATCTCGGCATCTGTCCCGACTGCGTATTCGGCTTTCATCAGAGTCACCAGAGAGTAGACAGCACGGACAAAGAGGGCGTTGGGTGATTTCCGTAGTTTGTCGACAGGAACGGCAATGAAGAAGTCTAATATGGTGTGTGCTGCGCTTATGCATTTCGTCGTCGCGTTGATCTGTAATGCTGAGCGCGAGAGGAGGGACTCGGGTTGTACACAGTCGTCATCTAGCGCGGGCAAAGTGATGTGGCGATTGCGAAACTCGATGACTGAACGACGTTAGCTAAGCTATATGCAATCTATCAAAGTCAACTTACCGTCGTAGCGACCTCCGTCCATCCCGAACTCCCACATAGATAGCATGTCCGCGTAGTACTCCAGCTGGAGATTCAACGTCATTACATCATCTGGGATTGCTTTCCTCCAGTCTTGCATTCGCCGATCGAAGATTCGCAGTATGATTTGCATGCGCAATTCCGAAAGACTGAAGCTGGTACTTGCATCGTCAAACCCGAAGGCAGTGTTCGCCTCATCAGCTATCCGCTGAAGTTTCAACCATGCAACTATTCTCTTGTCATCCAAGAGCTTTGACTTTTCCAGGATGTTGAAGCACTCTTCCATCCAACTGTTGAAAAGCAGTATGTTGGGTCGTTTTAGTCTCATCGAGAAGCCTGCACTTATGATGTAGAGCAGCAGGATAGTACGACAGTGCTCAAGTAGTTCCTCCGGCGAAGATATCTTCTGAAGTGATCGGATTGCACGCTTGGGCAGTTGCTCGTGCGTTCTGGGTTTCGATGTCAAGCCTAGTTCCAAAGCCATTGATGCGGCCATGTTAACCCACTGATAGATTTGTAGCTGTCCTGGTGTCTTGGAAGGTGAATAGTACGTGACAGTAACGATGAGCGCTTGTATAGCCTGAACTGATTTCTCGCCCTGGATGAATGCGGATCGTGCATAGAGAAGGACAGTTTCTTCATGCAGTCTGTCCGACAAGGCAGAGCCTTTGGAGTGGGCAGCTGCAGCCATGATCGCATGGAAGAGTGCGGGTTTGTTCGCTCGTAGATCGAAAACGTCCCAATGCTTAGGAATCGTGATACCTGGGCATGCAGCGACGAGCTCAGTGCGCCATATGCTCAAGAGCTCCCGAGCCATGTCTTCTGAGATAACACCACGGTCTATGATATCATTGTCAGAAGACCCCGGAAAGTTTATAGGTGCGCCAGTGATAACGGGGTCGACTGGAGGTGGTTTGCTGATAGGTGCTGTCAGCTTTGATGTCGCTGTTATACTACTCAGGCGACTCGGGACTCTAGGGGACGTCTCCTTTCCTCCTGCATGTCCTTGGTCGTCTGAGTCATCGTCTCCCGATTCTTGCTCGCTGACATCGTTGGATGATCGTGTGTTGGTTTTCAAAAGGCTACGCATCTGCTGGATCTCCTTTTCCAACTCTGTAACTCGCACATCTGTTCTCTTTCGTTGCCTTCTCTTAGCTGGCGGCGCAAACACACATGTTCTATTCGCCTTCGCGCATCGCTGGCACTGCGTAGAGCTTGCATCCGGATTCATAAGACATCGGACCTTGGATATGCGACATGCTTCGCAGGCGCGGTTTAGTGGTTGATCTTGAGGCTTTTTGGGCTCCGAGTCTGGGCTATTGACGAGTTGGTTCGTCATCGTCCAGGGATTCTGCGACTTGCCATCATCTCCTCGGCTCGTCATCCTGCTTCCGTGTACGTGTCGGCAAAGTTGCCGCTTGTTGTAGGATAGTATACTCGTTCGATTATGGGTCTCGTAGATGCTCACGCATAATGTTTCTGATTCGCTCTTGCTAGCTGCGCAATTCCATGTTTGTAATCACTTGGAGATCGACTAGCGCAAACGATAGCCGGTGGATGTTTGAGATGTTGTGTAGGAATTGTGCAACAAAGTCTGATGGTCGCAGATTTTGAGCGACGATTTTCTTAACCGTTAGACCGATTGAAGCGCTGGAGTTAGCAATGGTGTTGAATGACGAACGTTGATGCCTTGGAAGCCGTTGATTGAAAGTCGCCGGCCTGACAGGGTCTGACACGCAGCATTACTAATTAGGAAGATATGTGGGTCTAGCGGCAACCCCCGTGGCTAAACATTGAACCTGCAAGGCGCAACACACGACACGACCTAGTCAAGCGTTCATCTCAAGACTTAAAGGATGCTCGTGGATTTTCTGGTTCCAAGAAAACGGCTTTGAGTGATGGAAATACATACTGGCCTCGCCTGCGATTTGTCGCGATGTACTCAAGCATCTCAGTCATTTACGGGGTTGGAAAAATAGCCAGGAGTACGTACGCGTCAGGCACCCAATACTACTCACATGCGCGACTCGTATTGAGGTCCAGAAGAAGCAATATGATAAGACGGAAGTGTTGCGGTAGGGCCGCCATAAGTGTTGATTCATTGGCAGTGTGCGCATCATTGTCAGCATGTTTCATTAAAATCACGGCGAGCGCTACGTCGGTTCAGGGTTGATGTACTGGATGAAGAGTATCGCGCCTGCGTGGCTGGTAAGGCGTCCATGCTTTACCCGACGGCAAACCTTCGTGACCGTAGGGCGCGACTAGCGCGACTGGAAATATAAGACTTAATATCACCAAGCTAGTGGTGGAATGTCATCTACAGCCAAAACCTTCTGTCACTTTCAAACTCTTTGAAGCTAACTAAATGATTCATTCAACATACCATGCAGTGTTCGTTGCTGCAACATCTCCCGTTTAGCCATGGACCTCTACCAGTCAAAGACACCACTGATGCGCATATCGCCAATCAACATAACCAGAACCAAAATCTCTCAAGTGCGTTACGCGGGATCTGCTCAGGCCAAACCTCCGCATCAAGTGCCGCTTTACCGCTCCAAATATCTGCCTCCGCTGGGTTGACCATCTTGGTCCTTTTGAAGACTTTCCAGAACGCAAACAAGAGACCGAAGATCGCAACACCAATGTATGCTGTGAAGAAGTCGGTCAACTCATCGGGTCCCCAAGGTGTGGTGGTGAAAACCTTGAAGCCATTGAAGAGAATGATGAGAGCGAAGTAGGTAAAGGCAGTCCATGCGACGTAAGGTTGCCATTTGCTCGCGAAGACCATGGTGCTGCGATCAACGTTCTGGGCAATGCATGCTTTCCGGAACCGAGTGTATGTGTACGTGACAGTGCACCAGGTGAAGAGCGATGCGATTGTGGTTAAGTTTTGGAACCACCCGAACACCTTGTTGGCACCAGCGCTGACACTCATGTATGTGAGTAGGGAGATGGAGGCAGTAACTGCGACAGCGTAGATTGGTACACCCTTCTTGTTGCACCTGAGAAGGAACTGGGGAGCCTGGCCGTTTTGGGCAATACTGAAGAGATAACGGGAACCGGTGTACAGGAAAGCATTGCCGGAAGAGGTAGCGGAAGTCAAGATGACAGCGTTGACGATATGGGGAAGAACTGGAATACCAGCATTCTTCATCGCAATGACCCAAGGCGATGACTGGGCACCTTTGGCGTTGTCATCGGTAAGTTGAGGGTCGTTCGAGCTGATGGTGGTACCGATGATGAACGATCCTAGAACATAGAAGAACAGGATGCGCCAGAAGACACGTCGAACGGCCTTGGGAACTAGTGGAAGTACAAGGTCAGTGGCTGTCGTATGCAGTTGATACAAGGGGATTGCTTACTGTTCTTGCGAGGGTTGGCGGCTTCACCAGCAGCAACTGCAACCATTTCAACACCACCGTAAGAGAACGCAGCGTTGACAAGGGTAGACCAAAGACCGGTGAAGCGACCAGTACTACCAGTACCAACGTATTCCTTCATAGCGCCCTCTTTCCAATAGCGGAACCCTCGCCTGTCATGGTCTGGTCCTCCACCAAGCATGATGACCAGACCAGCAATGAGCAGTCCCAGGATCGTTATAATCTTTATGGACGCGAATATGAATTCAGCTTCTCCGTAAATCGAAACAGCGAAGATGTTAAGAAAGACGATGATGACAATGATGATGGAGATCCATATGGCAGGGTTGTACCTAGTGGCATGTTAGTTGTTGTCGCATTCGGAGTAGTGGCGGTACATACTTCTCTTCTTGATCCCAGAAGTTGATAAGCAGAGCGGCAGCAGAGATCTCAGCGCAGAGCGTGATAGAGCTGTTGTACCAATTGTTCCAACCGACGGCAAAACCAAGAGCAGGATCCGCATAGCGAGCAGCATACTGGGGAATAGCACCGGGTAGGGGAAGCCAAGTGGCCATCTCACCGAGGCATTGCATCATACCGAAGACAGCAACACCTGTAATGGTGTAACCAAGGAGGACAGAGACAGGACCAGCGTTGGCGAAAGCTTTACCGATACCGAGGAACAGACCGGTACCGATGGTACCTCCGAGTGCGATGAACTGGATGTGGCGCGACTTGAGGCCTCTCTGAACGTAGCCATAGTCCTCGGCTTTCTGAACTGAGCCGTACACACCAGCGGCCTCGTTGATGGCATTGCCTTTGGTATCGGTGACGTCTCCAACAGCATGGTCAGAAGGCGTCTCGCCAGCGACAGCATACTGCTGTTTCTCGTAGTCGTTGACCGACATATCTGGTGTGCTGTTGCGACCGATATGGGGTGACAGGCGGATGGAAGCACAAAGGAGGTGTGCCCAACAAAGTAAAGGACCGAACCTGAGTCTATCAGGGACAACAGGCCTAAGGGATCACAACAAGGGTAGAGGCACGAAAGATGATAGCCTTGCAAGCCGGGAGAATGGGGTTATGAGAACGATCTTTATACCTAGGCGCCTGCGACAGCCGCCTCTCGACTCTGCAGCATATCTATCCCAACACCAGGGTACCGCACACAAAAGAAGAGCATGGGCTGGATCACAGCGGAGACTGTCATTCTGCAGGCTAGTCGCGGCGCAGCTCCGGAGATCCTGCTGGTCAAAGGTGTGATTGGGAGCAAATGAGACGAACTTCTTGGCAGACGGTGTTGCCGAGCAAACACGCGGTACCGCCATGAACTATCTAAACCTCATCCGGAGGGTGATAAGGATGGCACCACAGTACTGGGGTAGATGCTTGGGTGACAAGCTTCGATACAAGCCTTGTCTGTTCAACGAGGGGCACAGCTTCTTGTGCAACATGTCTGCTTGCGGTTTCCCGTACAACAACCTATTCACCGGCGTTGTCGAAACTTTGCGGGTACTGATTGTATGACATTTGTCAAAGGCACACTCTTTGGTTGACTTCAGAGACCTCGAACAGCACGCGACAGCGGAATGGGGCGTCGGGCGTTCCAACTCGCTTAAAGTGCGATTTGGCATTGAGACAAGCCTCAATAGCGTTGGAGCAAGCAGCTATCGCGGAGTCCTGGCACGCGCTAAGCATTTCTCGGCAGGTGGATCCAAGCTACAATCCATTGCAACCCATCACAGCAGATTCCACTATCGTGGGCTGACTAGGGATGACGCGACGGGTGTTGTCCGAATTGGACGCATTTCTAGAACGCCTTCTAGCGCGCGGGGGTACTAGGATGGTATCGCCACACCTCCTGGATCGCGCAATATATTCAAATTCTGGTAGGATGGTTGTATCGAGACGACCCAGCTGACAACGATTTCAGAGATGCGTGTACTCTAGTACCTCTTCGATGGATGGCGAGAAGAAGGCGCGCAATGAGCGCAACAGTCCCCCACAACCCTCCGCACTAATGGGGTTATTGCACGGACAATCTGCGCAATCTACCTTGCGAGGTGAATCGCCGGCCTGCACTGCAGGGGTTTGATTGGAGTCGTAAACCTGCAAATGACGGTGGCGACTCGTATATTGTTCTCAGTTGATGGCACAAGGCTCGCATCCATCCAATCATATGGAAGATTTTAGAGACACAAAGACCGGAGTGCTGTGTGATGACCCGAGCATCATCCTAGGCGATCTTTTGGGCAGGTGCGTGTATTCGAGGCGTGATACTTGCACATGTGATCCATGTCGCGAGCGTAGGAGTTGTGTCTTCGTCAGGCTTTGTGCACTGATAAAGCTAGAGGCCGGTCACGACATCCAATGGAAAAGTATTCTAGAAGGTTTCAGGCGCGTAGACGCGGTGAGAATACGCCTCGTTCAAGCTACTGGTACCTGGCCATGCCTGGGTGCTTGACTAGATAAGCCGAGAAGCCACTACACTAGTCGCATTGACACAAGACCAACGGGCCGACCTTATCGAAGACAAAAGAAATCTTTGGACTTTGCGGGGTGATACATGCAAAGTTCAAGTCTGCGAAGTAGAGTTTGCGTGAGGGTTTAATCTAGTCAAGTATCAGATTCTGGACTTGTTACATTATGGTATGAATACACACAATCTTATAAGCCGCCGACCAAAGACGCACTCATTGTCATAAGCATGATTGCATATTGCGTTACGAAATCGCAAGCATTCTCCCATTCTGTGTGCGCATACGCGAGACAAAGGTGTGCCGTTTTCCTCGAAGCGATCAGCTCTCCGGATCCAAGCATTATGGCGTGGCGATTGTTGTTGAGGTGCGTTCGACAAGCTACAGCAGATAGACGACATGTTGTGCCATTGACCCAACCCAAGCGCGTCTTAGCCAGGTCCGATTTTGGGCATATCGTGGTGTTCGCTCAGTCCACTCAGATACTTGTTCAGCTCCTCTACCTTCTCCTTGTGTGTTTTCACTCCTTCCTTCTTCAATCTCTCTTCCAGCCTCTTCCTTCGCATCTCGTCGTGTCGCCTTTCAGCCTCCGTCTTCTGTCTTCCACCGCCCTCTCGTATCGATCTTTCTACGGCCTCGGGCGAGATTGAGCGGCCAGGTGTGCCTGAAGGTGACTTGTGCGCGTCATTGTCGGTAGTGGATCGTTTCGCGACGTCGATGGATGTGTCTTCAGAGGGTTTTGTAGATTCGGTAGTCTTTGGCTTCTTCTTCTTCTTCTTTTTCTTGTCAACGCCGCCGCCTTTGAGCTTCAGAGCACCACCGCTGGCCGCAGTGTATTCCGAAGACGGCATCGTGGTGGTGCGACGATGTGTGGTTGGTAAGCAGCTTTACATTGAGCGCGAGATTGATCAACGGGCTGACACGTGACATCCGAAAAAGTGGGGCCGACACCATCGCGTGTATCGGAACAAACAACACTAGTGCATCTGAAGCACTTTAAGCCACCCTGGAGAATGCCGTGGTAGAGTCTTGCCCTTTAGCAATACTCGTCAGTGATCTGCGCTTGCGTATTTACGACAAAAAATCATGCAGCATTTCGTTGAGTTGTACGGAACCGCCGCCCATTCCACACAGGCTCGGACTTGGGATTGAGTAGAAACGACCACTGCTGTCAATGCGATAGCCGATTTCCTTAGAACACCACAGTGGATAAAATATGGTACACACGCCACCTGCCTGGTTTTGCGGCTGGCTCCTACCTACATACTCTGAGAGGGCGATCTACTTTTCGTCATCTGAGATATTTGACTCAATAGCCTTACCATTCACCTGCACAACGACTTCAATGTACTCGACAGCTAATCAACGCATCTAAATGTACATGTATCGGGGAATCTATCGAAGGAGACGGCAAAATAGGTTACATTGGGCGGGGTTTCGATACTAAAGCTAAGAAGATAGATACTCCTCTTCGACGAATTCAAAGATGATTTTCTAAAAGAGGATATAGACACGGATTAGATTTGCTACGACAAAAGCAATAGCTGGGAATTGAGGTTACCTAGGTAATCTATCATATAGGTGGCGTGGCAGGCGTTCTCTTCTGCAAGACCCCGCGACCGATTGAATACTTTTCGGACATCGAAGACCATAGTAGAAGGGCGATACCTAGAGATGTGAAGGGAAATGAAAAGATGTATGAGACGAGATGCGATGCGAGATATCAAAAGACATCATGAGATACTGTTTTCGCGGTTTGAGAGAGAATATACTGCAATGATAAGCGTGCGCCAAATATATGGGTATGTAGTTCTTCATTTAATTCTCAAAGACAAAGACTCTAGTAGAAAGGAAGATGAGTAGAATGGTGCACTGGCGAAGGATGCATATCTGCATAAGCTCAAGGTCTGATCGCACTCCAGAGAGCTATCTAGTGATGCCAATGCTTTCTCTTTTATCATCGATCGGACTCAGATGGCGTGCTTGCACGCTCCCAAAGCCAAGGAAAGACACCCTCCCTATACATGATAGGAGTAAATCATCCTTGCCTTGGAGGCATGTTTGATGTTTCCAGGTTGTGGTTTTCACACAAGACTGCTGCTGCTTTCTTGATATAGTCAAGAAGAAAAAAAGTATCCCAACTCCAGCCCACCAAAAAAATTAGACATTGTCTAATACACACAGTACTAGACTTCATCGAATTGTCTCGATCAGCATGGGACTCGAACCCACAACCTTGCGCTCGCAGATATAGTTATAGGAGGCGCACGCGCTACCATTGCGCCAACCGACCTGTTGCCATGAAGCATACTTGTGGTTGAAGAACTAGATATACTTGTCAATTCTAGATCTATCCTTACAGTCTACTTCAAGCCTCTTGTCTGATGCTTTGGAATGCTCCATGGCTGTGGATGGTTGCTTTGCTAGCAACAGTGAAATTTTTGCAAACCAAGTGGAGGACAATGGTGGGTATCTTTTTGGCCGAGAATTCAAAGCAAGGCCGAAACGGATCTGTCTGAATCTTGTATGATGTACTGATACCCTTGAACGCAAGGCTATAACCCGATCTATTCGAAGGACGTCTGTTACTGTATGTGTGCGATGGTAACAACAACACTTAGCGTTGCACACGCCTAGATAAGATTAGACAGCAATGACGCGATCGCAATTTTTGGCAACCTAAGCCCCTTGTGGCCCAAGAACAGAAACAGTCATGTAACACCAATCTTCAATCCATATTCATAGAATCGCTCGCTTACAAAACGTGAATATCGTCGTGGAGTATAGAAGTCGTAATTATCTTTGTGTGGATTCACGATCGTTGCTCCCCGGCAAGCATCGGCGACTGTCTATTGCAGCAACCATCCTTGTCTTCGTGACACACAAGCAAAAGCAGTCCGAGAAAGAATTGTGAGACCGAAACGAAAAAACGCAACATCAACAGCCATGGTACGCAGGGGAAGCTCTCGTTTAGCCTAGGCTAAAAATGTGGTTGAGATGGTGGCTGATTTAGGAGTGGCATTAGGTGCACGCCGATTCATCAAATTTCGCCGATGGAATGAGTAAGAAGGAGGTTTATGCACAAGTGCTTGAACAAGCGAGAGCGTTGTTTGATGGGCAAAGGAATTGGGTAAGTTTTATCAGTCGTTAAGAGAGGATGGGATTACGTTGCTAATGCTTCATAGGTTTGGTACGTTCATGTTATTATGCAACTGCCTACTTGGAGCATCTCTAATATATTATGAACAGCAACTTCTCAAACACAGCATCGCTACTTTGGCACGCATATCATTCATTGCCTTCTCCATCCTCCGCAGTCAACTGGGCGGGTTTCTACTTCACATCGCCTACAAATTCGTCACAACTACTGCTGGGCCCCTTCCAGGGACAAGTAGCATGTCAAGTGATTAACTTCGGTCGTGGGGTATGCGGAACTGCGGCAAAAGAGGCAAGGACGCAGTTAGTGGAAGACGTCGAGAAGTTCCCAGGACACATTGCATGTGATGGAGCGAGTCGGAGTGAAATTGTTGTTCCCATTGTACAAGATGGAAAGGTATGTGTTGACTCTCTGACTTCAAAGTGTTGGTATGCTGACACATTCGTAGGTCGTAGCAATTATCGACATAGATTGTGCGGAACTCAATGGCTTCGACGCGGAGGACCAGGAAGCCTTAGAAGAGTTGGCTGAGTTATTGGCACGATCGTGCGATTTTTGAAGCATGAGCGACGATGATCATCATAAGACAAGAATGGGTTGATGGCATGCTAGAGACGCCGGAGTGACTATATGCTTTTGCGTATTGGCACTGTAGCCCAGCCGACAGCGTTTAGGTAACGCAACAAATCTTAGCACACGAGCGAAGTATTATTGTATCTTCAGCAGAAAGTAGCATTTATGCAGACATCACAACAACATCCAGGTAATGCGAACTCGATTCGGAGAGAGAGTGCCATTGTTTTTGGACAATTATAAGTAGTCATCAACTCATACACGTCATGAACATATCCGCAGCCAGATTACCGCGAAAAGGGACAAGACTAAAGTAAAGATGCAGCGCAACAGTCACTGGTAATGAAACAGTGGAAAGAGAAGAGACATTAGCACACCATGCGCCCCAGTAACTCCCAGAATGATGACCCAACACCGTTATGCACTCTTTAGTGATTCAAAACGCCCGCCTGCAGACGACATATGTAGCGCCGAGCCCGATGGCATGCTGTGCGACGAAGAATTGACTGAGACAAGAAACGAAGTGACGATGAAAGTCGTGTCCCAAGACGCCATGCTATAACTCCCGGAATGAAGATTGAGGATCAGAAACTCAGAATCCAGGGACGTGGCTCATGACTTTGGGCGGGAGATGGCATTGCCTAAGCTCCCGACACGACCACTGGTCTTCCGTACAGCAGACTTGCCATCGGTGCTCCTGCGCGAAGGGCTCGATCGGATCTTGCCCATGTTGATGCTGCCACTGCCGCTCTTCTCCTTTGGTGTCTTCGGCCGGATGCCAGCCGGTGCAGTGTTCTCGAGGTCGCTCTCTTCACCGAAGCCGAAAGAGGTGTGTGTTACAGATGTTTGGACGACAGACGTGGTGCTGAAAGCGCGGCGCTGCTTGTCCTTGAGGGTTGGTGAACGCTGAGGGGAGCGTGACGAAGTACGCCGCGCAATCTGGCGGAGATGGAATTCCTCGTCCGACTCACCATCGAAGCGTGTGATGTCTGCTCTGACCTCTGTATGCGACTTGGTGAAGGGCTCGTTCTCGTCGATGCGCTGTGGTGACCGGCCGTTACCGTAGAGCTTGCTAGTCTTTCGCGGTTGTCCCGGTGTCGGCGCAGGCAAGTTGTCCTCTAGTACTCCAATATGGCCCGAGTTGCTTCGCTCGTTCGACTCGATCTCACCGAGCGCAGCGCGCTTGGAAGATCCGTTGGGCGGTGTGAAGGTTTGCCCGTTGCTAGCAAGGCGCTGCTTGTGCGGTGACTTGGTAGGCGTTGATGGCATCATCTGCGCGTACTTGGCCTTGATGGTGTCCTCGAACCACCACTCTCGGAAAGTACCTTGGTTGAGATGGAGCCAGTGCTGCTGGGGACCGACAACCATGCCCGGGCGCATGAAGCGCATGTATGCGATAATCTCGTTGGCGGTGAAGCCGTGCTTGTAGATCAGGTAAGCCCCGATGAGGCAGCCGGTTCGTCCTAGTCCAGCCTTGCAGTGAACTGCGATACCGCGCTTCTGCACCGTAATCATCTCATGTGCAAGGTTGACGAACTTGCGTACGAGTGACAGCGGCGGACATGTGCCGTCGTCGAAGATCATGTTCAAGTGCTGGATGCCGAGCTTGGTGAAGTAGGACGAGGAGTACAGCTCCGAGTTCAATCGCACAACGAGACCGACGTTGCGCGCGCAAAAGTGCGAGAGTACGTTCTTGAAGGGACCGGGGAGTCCAGATCGCTGGATCTCGGCGATGTTGGAAGGTAGCGTCGCGTACATTGGTGATGATGTCGGGATCTCATGTGTGGGTTGTTGTTGTGGTGAGGCGAAGGCCAGAAAGTTGGGAGTGACCCAGTTGAAGTCACCCATGTCTACGCGCTCGAACTTCTCATATCTAGGACTGTTAGCGTTGGCTGTTTGGAGATGCGCGCGGCTCAGACGTACTCCTCGAGACTGAAGTCTTTCAGACCGCAAAGGCCTTCTTCCTTGGCCTTCCATACACCGTAGATGACGTCCTGAATGTTCAGGACATAGTCAGCCTGGCTGTAACCGGCATCGCGGAAGGGCATGCAGGGCGGATCCATCTGGGCAATGGGCGCCAGAGCAAGATGAGGTGGCCATGACTGGATGAGCACCATGTAGCATGCGAGAATGCAGGCAGCGTTTGCGCGACCTAGGCATGTTAATTTGTGCAATTGAACGGAGTAGATTTAGTGCTCTCACTCCTAGAGTCGGCGCTGCTCCAGAAGACGACAGCGCGGTCCTCGTTGGCTGGGTCGCCCAAAACTTCATGCAGCTGAACAGCGAAGCGGTAGAGGTGACCAATGTGCAGTGGGCCGAAGTCACCATGGAAGGCATTGTACAGGAGAGTCTTGTCGATACTGAAGTAGACAGGAGGATGCGCCTTGGGCCCTGCGGCAGTAGGTCCTACTTGCGCGCGCGATGACCGCTTGGAAGGCGACTGGCTTTGCTTGGGGTACGGAAAGGGCGTGTTGGCATCGGGCGGGCTTGTGTACGATGCCAGATAGAGTCGGTCTTGAATGTACTAGGAGGTCTCAATCAGAATGTGTTCCGCAATCGCTTTGTTTTGGTGTGTTGTGATGCTCACCTCGATCACCTGACCATAGCTGGTCGTGGATGCGCGAGACATCTTGGCTACTCGATCGCGTGGTGAAGCCATGGGGAAGAGGAAGGTGCGATCCTCAAGTGTTGATTACAGCTGGGGAAGGACGGGGTGCCGACTTGGGACGAAAGCGGCGATGTCGGCAGCGCAGCGCAGGAGTATATGCGTCGTCGTTCTGGAGCTGGTAGCGGAGGTGCCGTCTACGCCTGCTTGTCCTGCTGCGGTCGAAGTAAGGAATAACAGTAAAGATGTGTGACGGGCGGATGGTTGGAGGTTTAAGCACATCCTCCATGTTGTTGTTGTTTACAGATGCACGGACCAACCCGCTAGTTCCACTCCGCGGTTTCGGGATGCCCGTCAACGCCATCATAACAACTCTAGACGGCTGGTCCAAGCACCACAACAACACAACAACTGGTGAGGTCCTCCCTGTTGTTTACCCTACGCATTGCCTATACGTGACCTGGTACACATATTCTCGTTTGCCAGCATCTCATTTCCCGTCTACGACTCTGTCTGATCCCGTCTCTTAGGAAACCAGCATCGTCAAGACTTGGACCCGCAGCTGTCGTCGTGTCTGCATGACCTCACAGGGTCCAATATATGGGCTTCTAGAGGCTGTCTGCATCTCGATTGCTGCAGTAATCGCGGACAATTTGCGCGGCCTGCACTAGAGCCCGTCGGCATCGCGATCGCCTCACCGCATACGGCCATCTTGCCGTTGTCATTTCTTTTTGTGTTACTTTGACCATCAACAGTAAGCAGTTGTCGTACAAACTCCGCAGAGTTGAAGCCCTGTTCTGGGAGATATCCTTGGCGACCCACATATCCTGTGTGTTGCAGAGTAGGAGTGGGCCGCGGCCGTGCGTTGTGAAGCCTCATCTAACATTTAAGGTTACAATGATCCGACGGGGCAGAACAGAGGGATGGCTCAAAGAGTCCATCGATGTGCTACCTACATGGGCTACGTTCAATGGGGTCAAGTTCAATGGTGTCAAAGTTGGCCCGCTACCAGGTTATGAGGACAGAGGATCAACCGTCATCGCCGACAAGAAGCTCCAAGGGGGCGCCGCTGAGCCTATGCTCGTCGTGCCAAAGGAATTGATCATATCTCGCCAGAACATCGAACTTCTTGCAAAGGCAGACCACCATCTTCGAGAAATTCTCGAAGCTCTTGGGGACTTTGGGAGGGTGTGACAGCCCCTTGGAAGAATCGAAAAATTCACAACACTAACGCAGTACAGACGACAAGAGGCGCTATACTTACATTTCTACTCTTACAAGCCACCATTTGCTGTCCTGAGACAAAGGGAGTTGGCGTCCTGAATCCCCTTACGGAATACATCAAGTTTCTTCCAGATGAGCTGCTTCCCACATTCTGGACCGAGGAAGAACGGGAGCTCTTAGTTGGAACCACGCTCAAACCTGCAGTTAGCGCAAAATTGAATGGGTTGCTGCGCGAATTTGAGAAATTGCGAACTGCGACAGAGTCAATCAGCTGGTGTAAAAAGTACTGGTGGGACGAAGACAATGGCATGTTGGACTTCGACGACTGGATGCGTGTCGACGCCATGTACCGGTCTAGAGCTCTGGAGTTTCCAGGTACTGGTGACTGCATGGTGCCCTGCGTTGATATGGCAAATCATGCATCGGGAGATGCAACAGCTGCCTTATACGAGACCGATGGGAACGGAAATGGGTTGTTACTACTTCGGGAGGGCAAACATGTCGAACCTGGCGAAGAGGTTACGATCACGTAGGTCATCCCAACACATCACACGAAATTCGCTCACCAGATTAGGTACGGGGACGACAAAGGCGCATGTGAGAACATCTTTTCGTACGGATTTATCGAAGATACAATGACTTGTGCGAAAGTCATGTTTCTGGACCTTGACATCCCAGATGACGACCCCCTCAGACCTGCAAAGATTTATGTTTCAAAGGTTGCACCAGGCTTCCGCATTTTTGAGAAGGACGGCAACATAGAATGGGAAAGCGACTTCGTATGGCTTGTTGTAGTCAACGAAGAAGACGGCCTAGACTTCAAGATCAGACAAACGACGGACGGCAAGAGAGAAATCCAGTCTTTTTGGAATGAGCAAGAACTCGACACGGTCAAGTTGCGGGAACACCTTGAACAGGACCCAGCATGGGATGTCTTCCGACTCCGTGCCACGGTACTTCTACAAAACCGTGTTGACGCACAGATCGACACACTCAAAGAATCAAAGGGCGCTAGACGGGACAGTACCATGCGGGACATGCCGTGGAAACTTGCGGAGCGACTCCGAAGTCTGGAGCTAGACATGCTCGAGCGTGCTGCATCCACACTTGATAGCCAGGTAAGACTATTGCCTTCTCATACCCCGCGCTCGTAGCTA